TGAACAGTGTCCTTAGCCAAAAGGAGTTGCAACCCTGTCATACTCATGGAGGACAAGCCTTCCAAACGGCCTCGGGAGCTAGGTAGAGTAGGGCACAGTGGCAGTGTCGGCTACTCTGGAGGCCGAGGCTAGCCCATCAGTGATGGAGTCTGTGAGTTGGAAGCAAACCTGGACAAGACAGCAGAGGGCCATCTCACACTAAATGAAAGGAGGAGCCCTGGGGCTAGGGGAAGCCCCAGGGCTGGGGGGTGCCCCGGGGCTAGGGAGTGTCCTGGGGTTGGGGGGTACCCTGGGGGAAGCCCCAGGGCTGGGGGGTGCCCCGGGGCTAGGGGGTGTCCTGGGGCTGGGGGGTACCCTGGGGCTAGCCTTGGCTACCCGCAGCTCTTAAAACTCCCCTGTGAGCTTGTGTTGCTTCCTATAACAAGGTGATGTTTCAGCTGGGCGGTGGTGGTGCACGCCTTTAATCCCAGCACTTGGGAGGCAGAGCCAGGAGGATCTCTGTGAGTTCGAGGCCAGCCTGGGCTACAGAGTGAGTTCCAGGAAAGGCGTAAAGCTACACAGAGAAACCCTGTCTCGAAAAACCAAACCAAACCAAAACAAGGTGATGTTTCCTCTCACTCTGCTGCCTCCAGCCCCCGCCAAGACTGGCCCACAGCAGGTATCGAGTGAGACTCTAAACCCAATCCTGTGGAACGGTTTCCTGCACAAAGAGGCAGGTACACCTCAATGTCGCACCCATGGGCCAACAGGAGTGTTCAGGACCATGATGCTCACGATTACGACACCATAGTCAATGAGGTGACCATGGTTACCATGGCTCCATTGGTTACCCCTCAGGTGAGAAAAACAAATTGCCAGAATTCCAGAGGTGCTTGTCCCAGCTCATAGTCATAGAGGGGATTCACAGTCAATCTTGTTGTAGACTGAAAAAAAAAAAAAGTCACATGGCCCCAAACTAGGATCCAAAGGCATCAGGGTTGTACACAACTAACTGGATCCTGTAAGTGGGGAGATGAGAGGGGAACATTGCTTCTCAGAGGTGGGAGTCCTGGGCCTTCAGAGGCCCTTCCAGATCCAGCCAGTATGGGTTAGCCTGGAGGAAATAATACTTCCCTGAGGAAAAGGGGAAAAGTCATCCAGGAGGACATATCTTCCTGGAGCATGAACTTGACACACTTTAAGGGTTGGAAGGGCAGGGGTGGGAGAAGTAGAAGACCCAGTGTGTGAGCCTCTGAGTGTGAGGTGTATGGCTAGCCTGGTGTAGCAGAGGCTGGGTTGACTCTGGCGTGGCCCTTGGGCTGAGGGCCAGAGGAGGCATTGTTAGAGCTTGGGCCAGAGGCTGAGCAGTGGCGGACCTGTGGGCTGTCACCAAAGCCAGTACCAGGAAGTGCTAAGTAGAGGGACTAGCCAGATTCCAACAGCCCCAGGGGCCCTTCCCATCCATCCAGTGCAGCCTGAGCATTGCCCATGTCAAGTCAAGCCACGCCAATTCTGGTTCTGGGGACCAGAAGGAATTAATGTCTACACGTCACACCCCTAGGGCAGATTTTGCACATGGGTACTTCAAAGCATTTTCCCCAAGTGCTTTTTTTTTTTTTTAAATAGCCAAAGGGCCCAAAGAGGCCAATGTGACAGCAGAGGACCCAGGGGATCTGAAATCAAGAAACCAGTGCTTCCAATCTAGCCTGGGCCTGATCCATGAGCCTCAGGCCAGGGTTTACCCTGGCGCCTAGGAAACCAGGCTACTCAGAAGGGCTGAGCTGCATGGCCTTGTTCCTGGGCCAGGAGCCCAGACTGACCTTGGCCTGCCCCTTGCATGCATCTAATCAAAACAATCTATGATTTGGGTGGGCGGGTGGGTCCAGAGATCTGGAGAGCAATTAGTCAGTTAGGTGACAAGAGGAATCCAGCTGCTTTCCCAGGAGCCACAGAATCAGAGGCAAGGAGCCCCATCTTAGCACTTCCAGGCCGCCTCTGACTTTTGAGTGGTGAGTCGTATCACTGTGGTTGATGCTACGGTGGGTGCCTGTGCCAACCGCGGACTGTGCCTCTGGAGGTAGGCTACCTGCCTGCCTAGGACCCTGTGTCCTGTCTTCTCCCAGGCTTTGTGCACCCTTTCCTCTGCCTCAGAAGCCTGACACACACTGCTGTTTGCCCGGCAAGATGGCTTCAAGAAGCTCCCCAGGAGCGTTTGGATTGGCTACATGGCCCAGATTCAAAAATTCAGAGGTTCCACTCAGAATTCCCAGTAGGAAAAGGGACCTCTTTCCATCCACACGTTGGTCAACACAGACTGGGAATGAAGTGTTACCTCCCCTCCCCCCCAGTATTTTAGCCAAATCTGTATGCCTAGTTTTATAAAAATCCAGGGGAGCCAGGCGGTGGTGGCTCACGCCTTTAATCCCAGCACTTGGGAGGCAGAGGCAGGTGGATCTCTGTGAGTTCGAGGCCAGTCTGGTCTCCAAAGCGAGTTCCAGGAAAGGCGCAAAGCTACACAGAGAAACCCTGTCTCGAAAAACCAAAAAAAAAAAAAAAAAAAAAAAAAAAAAAAAAAAAAAAAAAAAAAAAAATCCAGGGGAGCTTGTCCAAGGCTGTACCCAATATGGGGCAGTACACAATTCTTTCCCTTCCAGCCTCTAGAGTTTCTAAATTCCCCAAAAACCATCGACTGTCACCCTCCCTCCCAAGCGCCAGTATTCTATGGTTACTGTCTTCGGGACATACGACCTCCTCCCTGCACCCCCAACCTCTCAGGATCCCGACCGTGACTGGGCACTCAGCTCCCCTCCTGGGCTCCTCTCTTTCTGCCGATTTCATTCCACCATCCAGTCTTGGTTCCTAAACTTCCAGGCCTTTGTACACACCCCTGCCTAGTGAACTGCTTCAGGCTTCCACACAGCCCTTTTTCATCATTTGACCTAAGTACAACCATGGCTTCCACACAGAGGCCTCCAGCTCTGGCCACTGTCCCACCACCTGCCTCTTCTCTGACAGGCCTTATTACCTGAACAGAACCGCTACAGCAGACGTAACTGGGCTCCAGTTCCAACTCGGCTTCCCTAGCCTCGCTTCCTCCCTCGTCAGAGGAGTCGTAGCCAGCCTCCTACGGGCCCTCCGTGGTGGTGGTGGTGTTCAGGCCTGTGCCCTGGCAGCAGTTCCCTGCTCGTCCCAGGGTTGTTACCTAACCCCCGACCCATCTCCTGTGGCGAACACAGAAATCTGTAACCTCTCAGGCCAGCAGATGCCAAGAAGGCGGAACGGGCCGGCCACAGCTGCCCTCTGGCAATCCTGCAGTCTGTCCTTCCTCATACACTCTACTAGAGGCATAGTTTCACCACACAGCCCACCTGAGGCTCTCCCCAAAGGCAGGAAATGAGGGTATGCATGTGCTGGTGGACACATAAGCTCCTGGAGTGTGACCGTAAGCTACTCGCAGAAATTCCCTCCCCTCGACATGGACAGGACCCAGGGCCTTGTCACATGCATCTCCTTTCTGTCTGATGAACCTGCTTCTTATGATCCCTGTGGGCGCAGGCCCTCATTTACATCACCTGCCTCCATCTTGGACCGCTCAGCCCAGTGGCACCATAGCCAGGTGTTTATTAGGAGCAAGATTAGCACCTGTCTCCCTGAGGCCACCTGTGTGTGGTGGCTCTGGTGTCTGGAGCAAGCATCCAGGAAACACTGAGTTTGGCCTTCATATCCTTCTGAGGACACTGTAGTGCCAGGGGTCAATGAACCAGACTTGCCTGTAAGGAAATTGCTAAAATAAACCCAGGCAATCTAAGAATCTACTAAAAAGCTTCTGGTTTACCTCCCCCAATATATTTCAAATGTATTTTTTCTTTTTATTTTCCCAGGATTCGTTTTCTAACAGAAACCACACACAGTATCCCAGAATTCCACTCCACAACCTCTGGCAGCCCTACTGAACTCCAGCCGGTCACACTAGTTCCTCTGTCTAGCTTCAGACACCCAGCTAGCCCAGTGCCATGACCCCTCTCTTGTGAATGAGGAAGCTGAGACTCAGGCACACAGGGAGCTTGCTGAGGAGCGGCCCCAGAAAGGGATGGAGGAGCTGGGCTCACACCTGGGCTCTGTTGAGCTGAGCCCAGCATGAATCCTTTTTGCTCCTTGTCCTGCATTGGCCAGTCTCCAGCTCTCCCTCCTTGTCAAAGGTCAGGCTTGGAGAAGGGACCGTGGGCTGTTCTTCCTAACTTCGCACCTCCAGCCTTGACTATTCAGGACAGCCTGGCCCCAGAAGGCTTGGTTCTGGGCACTGTCTTGCTAGGCCCCTCTGCATCCCTACACAGGCCTGCTTTGGGAGCCAGAGCCAACACAGCAGCTGATGATGCCATGTCTTCGCTACGGCTGTTCACTCTGCCCGGGTTCCACACCTGTGTTGACCCAGGTTCCACATACATGTTGGTTTCTGACCAGCTCTGCCCACCTCACAGCCCTGCCGTAGGCCCAGGCTTCAAAAAACTCCAGGATTGGACCATCGGTGCCCTGACACCAAGAACCTTCACTTGCTGAGCTTGGCTAGCGACTAACTCTGTCTCAGTCTGTCCAGCTTCACAAGGTCCCTCAGCAGGCTGGTAACCCAGGAATAGGCAGCAGATAATCACCGGTGCTGGAGGCTTATGGAGACATAAGGGGACACCAGCCTCTTTCAAAGGGGTCTGGAGAACAGGGTCCCAGCTTTCCTGGCCATAGCCTCTCCCACAAAAAGGAAGACAACTTCTTTGGTCGTATCTACCACTTGTGGCCACACTACATACATACAGACAGGAGAAATACCAACAATTGGCAGAGGGAAGGAACTAGAATGATTTTTACAAAGAACAACACTGGTAACTCAAGAGAGCCACTGAGGTCACCACTGAAATCCCCCACCTTGACCCTGAGGTTCCTGGAATCCATATGGAATCCAAACATGAGAGGGCCGCCTGTTTCCGTGGGGTTGGAAGGCACGCCTCGTCAGCACAGGCTGTACTTACCATTGGAGCGGTGTATGCAGGTGTGTTGGTTGTCACTGAGGAAAAAGCCGCTGTGGCACTGGCACTCATAGCTGCCCATGGCATTGACACAGATCTGCTGGCAGCCACCATTGTTGTCTTGACACTCATCCACATCTGTGAGAAGAGGGAGAAAGGGGGAGAAGAGATGTCATGCCTGGAGCTAGGGGGTCACAGAGACGATCAATTTCTCCATCAGTTAATGAAGGGTCTCCACAGAGGTGCTACACAATGGAGCATGAGGGTACTCCATGGCATCATGCTATGATGGGGGTACTCCATGGCATCATGCTATGATGGGGGTACTCCATGGCATCATGCTATGATGGTATTGCAGGAGGGTACTCCATGGCATCAAGCTATGATGAGGGTACTCCATGGCATCAAGCTATGATGGGGGTACTCCATGGCATCCTGCTATGATGAGGGTACTCCATGGCATCAAGCTATGATGAGGGTACTCCATGGCATCCTGCTATGATGGGGGTACTCCATGGCATATACTCTGGAGATGATGCATGGGGCTACTCCATGGTAGCATGCTATGATGGTGCTACATGAGGGTATTCCAGAAGTATTTCATAGTACTCCACAGGCATACTGCATGGTATTCCATGGTAATCTTCCAACAATGGAACTCCACAGAAGTAGTCAGTTACAAGGGCTGGAGGGTTGTGACTGCTCCCAGTATGACTAGCATAGTTCTAAGCCCTTTCCTATGTTAACTCTGGTCCTTGCACCAAACCCATCAGATTTAAGTGTTAGCCCATTTATAGACAAGGAACCTGAATTCCGGGCGCCAGGCTACATGGAAAGTGACAGGGGTAGACTTTAGACCCGGCGCATCGACTCCCAAGCCTGGCCCCGCCTCTGCCACCACTGGACTCTTCTACCCAGGATGACAGTGCAGACTGAAGTGTCTCCCTAACACACGGAGCTTGGCTAACCACAGCCCCGACTTCATCAACCCACCTCGGTTTACAGCTGGCAACATAAGACCCTGGAGCCCTGAGGGGGGGCCGGAGGCCGGAGGCCAGGGCAGCCTGCGCCACCCTGAAGGTCTACAGCTTGGCAGATTGATTTCAAAAGCCTGGAGGGTAGGGGCAGATTTGAAAAGCCCCTGACCTCTGGCTGCCAGGACTGCCGGGGAAGGCTGCCAAGAGGTCTTTCCCACTCGGCGGGAGGCACCGGCTCAGGGCCGACGCTCACTTCTGACCAGAGGCTGCTGGCACGAAGGGTGTGACTGGCTGAAAGGGCCTTTATGGAACTCTGGTCCTGAGCAGAACAGCATGTTTCAATTACCGGAGTCATAACCCCCTACTCTGTCGGTTTGTTTAATGAAAGAAGGGCTTCTTAAACCTTAATGTTCCATGGCTGTATTGTCATTTTAATAGGCAAATACATAAAACCACAAAGCAATGTGTGCATGGAGCTACTGGCTGTGCCCAGCCAATCCCCAGCCTCCGACACACACACACACACACACACACACACACACACACACACACACACACGTCCTTTTCATGCGTACGTGCACATACGCTTTGGCACTGAACATTTCCTTCGCTTCTTCACACAGACATCTTTTGCCATTGAGACCAAAAAGATGTGAGGCCAAAGGTAGAGGGCGGGGGTGACCTGCTCTGAACCGGGGGACAGCTTGGCTCTACAGGGCTGTCAGCTGGGTCCTATTTAGGCTCGAGGACGGCAGACCACTTTACCACCCAGGAGACCGCGCGGCTGCCTTTGAGGCCCACAGCGTGGAGCATCATTATTCTCTGGCAAGCTCAAATGTCAGCCGTGTGGCTGTCGGAGGAGGGAAACAGAGCTCTCAACTCTAAAAGCCACCGAAGGTTCCAGCTCACATGTAAAGGTGGCTCTTGCTGAGAGGAGCAGCGGGACCAGAGGCTCAACTGGGAGGTGGGGGGGGGCGCTTTGGGGGGGAGGGCGAGGTGGGGGGGAGTGAGGGTGTGTGGAGGGGTATTACTAGTTCTTTGAAAGCTTTCACAGTCTTGTTGATGGCTCCCTCCCGGCCCAGTGCTACCAGTACCTTTGCGTAGGGAACCCCCAAAGTGCACGGAGCTGCTACCTCTCCTCCATGCTGCAGGGGTCTGTCTCTAGCCTGTGGGTCTGCACCGGGTACTGCCTGGTTACCTGAGCAACAGAGAGCCAGCATCCTGGGCGCTTTCTGTGAACCGAGGGGCCTCACTAGAGCCTCAGCAGCTCATGTGATAGGGTGTGTTACTAAGTGCATTTCATCGCTGGGACTCGGACACTCAGAGAGATCTGAGTGGTCCACACAGGAGATCAGAGGGAAGGCAGAGCCCCAGAACAAGAGCCCTCAGACACGTGGCTTGGCTGGTTGTGCCCCAAACGTGTTCAGACTGGTTACGAAGAACCCGCTCCCTCCCGAGCTTGAGTCTGGGTCAACTTAAACACACACTCCTGAGACTCAGAAGGCATGATCCACTAGCAGGGTGAGTCCTATCGTTGACCCCACTGCACTGAGAAAGGCAGGCACCTGCGCCTGCGTCTTAGGACACAGCGGACCACGAGCTCTGACCCTGGTCCTCTGTCATCCATTACTGCCTCTCTTCCGGTTCCCAGACGCCAGTCCACACAAAGCCTCCATCGTAAGACAGACAAAGCGGATAGGGACCCTCCAGCGTGGGCTTCAATGGGGCAGAAATGCTGCCTTGGCCTGGATGCCACCCATCTGCAGCCATCTGGCCTGACCCAGCTCCGCACCTCACCAAAAGCTAGGAACCAGGGCAGTTGACATAAGGCATCCACAGGCCCCCAGTGATCTGGCGGGGTGGCGGTGCTGTTGGGACACGGCTGTTTACATTAGCGGGGAACAATGGCTCGCCAACCCCGATGAATAATTTGAAACAAATGCAAGGCCATGTAAACATGTCTTTCTCTTCTCCCAAATGATAAAACCCCAAGATTAAGCAGGCGGGAAAAGAGAGCTGTCCCTCGGCACCCTTCTCCACTGCGTCCAAACAGGGCCTCACATCCTACCCAAGTCGGGTGGAAAGTCCTGGGGACGCTGGGTCCCTGGACAGCCTGAGGCCACACTCACGACCTCTTCCATAGACACTCTGCATCTCAAGCTCTCCAAGAGGACTCATGGGGGCTGGAGAATGATCAGCGGGTGTAGTTGTGATCACAGGAAGTCTGCCTACCACCTAGGCCAGATGGGGGTCACCTGGCAGAGCACCATGGAGAAACAGCCCCTTGGCTGTTCCTTGGAGTTAGCCGGCACACTGTGACCCAGCACAGGGTGCATCCTTTTATGAGAGGTGCCTTCAGGGCCAGAAGGGAGTCCATACCAGGCATTGTGCCCCCTGAGGTCTGCTCTGCTTTTCCCTCAGTGTGTGGTCAGTACTGGGCCTTGTCTCCAGGAAGTGTGGCTGGACCGCAGAGTGTCTTTCAGGAAGCCCCTTGGAACACCGGGGTACAAGTTTTCCTCTCTCTCTCTGTGGAATCATGATTGTTCTTACTGATGACTGTGTGTTTGGTCCTGTGGGGAACTCCCTCAACAGTCAGAGGCAACATGATGCCCTGTCACTGCACAGAAGGATGCCTCATGCTAGTTTCAGCTCCAGCTTGGACACTGCTCACTAGATCCACCCAGGAGCCCCGTTCCACCCCCCACCCCACCCCGGTGTCTGGTTCTTAGAAGAGAAGAGAGATAGGAAGAGACTTTCTCAAAGCCCAAAGGATGCAGAGTGTTCTCCAGTCAGTGAGAACCACTCAGTCAGGGGTCCACGGGGCAGAGGGCAGTTCCCCGTTCCTCCTTGTGCCTTAGTGCCTCCTTCCAGGTCTCCCAGCTCTGGAGGCCTTACGTTTCCACTCCATCCCCTTGCCTAGACCACAGGTTTCGCTATGCCGTCCCTGCCATGGGTGGGAAAAAGCCTGTATCTCCTTCACCAGAGGCGGGCCTAGGGTGGCAGGGCAGGAGGCCATACCTGGCAGTCTAGGGTGAGATATCACACTAGGGGTGATATCACAGCTCACTTTCAGAGGGAGGCTCACTGCTGCTGCTGCTGCAGGGGAATGCTATCTTGGCTCACCAGGTGTGGTGTGTTACCAAAAGGAGGCCCGGGTCGCAACCAGCAGCCAACATCCGTTCCAGCATCCGCCGGTTGGTCCTCGAGGCTGACGTAGACGCGGGATCGAGAGCGCCTCGCCTGGTTCACACCTAGGACACTAGGTGGCTGTTTTGAAATTCACTCGGATTTCTACTGTTCTACGCAGATTTGTTAAGTCATAAAGGAAACTATTTAAAAGACAAATTTTTTCCACATTTAAAAAAAATGGGTTTCCTGTGTACATTGGAAGAAAATTGGGTTTTGTTTGAAATTTTAGGCAGTCTGACAGTGGTGGTTTGAAAGAAAATGCCCCCCACAAAGGGAGTGGCACTCTTAGGAGGTGTGGCCTTGTTGGAGGAGGTGTGGTCTTTTTGAAGGAAGTATGTCACTGTGGAGGCGGGCTTTGAGGTCTTATATATGACCCAGTGTCTCAGACCACTTCCTGTTGCCTTCAAGATATAGAACTCTCAGCTACCTCTTCAGTACCATGTCTGCCTGCATGCCACCATGTCCCCCATAATGACAATGGACTGAACCTCTGAAAATGGAAGCCATCCCAATGAAATGCTTGAAATTTTTCTTTATAAGAGTCTCTTACAGCAATAGAAACCCTAACTAAGACACCAGGCATCCAGAGGGACTTGGGCAGGCTCTCTATGCCATTTTCCAAGAGCCTGCTTCTTCTACGATCAGAATGTGCCCCATTCACACACACTTATACCCTTCTCCGGGGACAGCCTCGTCTCCTCAGACCCAAGCCTTTGCCCTTCTGCATCCATAGACACTGAGAATGAATGTCACTTGGAGTTTTGGACCAGGAAACAGGGATGGCAAGCTTCCTGGAGGAGGTGGTGTAAACCCTGGGCTGTGAGCACGAGTTGATGAGTGACCTGAGGCTGGAGGATTGGCAGGGCAGAGCACATAGGGAAGGGGCTGTGAGTACGGCAGCAGGAGGAGAGTTCTGGAAGCCCCCAAGGATAGTAACTGGCTAGGTCCTGTGTGCTGACTCAGGTAGCCAGG